AATGAAAAAAACAGAGATGAGTAATATTATCATACTAAATGTAAATATTCTGCTTGCACCTGTAGCTTACGCCTGTAAGTCTAGCTACTTTGGAAGCTGAGATCTGAGGCTCAAAGGTCGAAGCCAGTCCAAGCACTCTGTGAACGTCTTATCTCCAATTAACCATCAAAAAGCCGGAAGTGGAGCTGTGGCTCCAATGGGGCAGCCTTGAATGAAAAAGCTAAAGGACAGCACCTTCCCCAGGACCAGCATTCACTCGCTCATACGCACATGCGCACACACACACACACACACAAAGATAGTTCTTCTAAATGCACAAATTAAAACACAGACCCTTGCAGAGCAAATTGAAAAGCTTGACCCAATTATATGTTGCCTGTAAGAAATTCAGTTCATATGTCTAGCCTGGTGGTATACCCAGGAAGACACTGAGTTACAGGAAATCCTGCTCTGCATAGTGAGACCTTATTCCAAACAAAACACAAAACAAAAACCTATTTTATGGGATGTAGAAATAAGATCATAGTTCAAGGCCAGCCCAAGCAAAAAGTCAAGAAGACCTCATCTCAATCAAGCTGGATGTGTTCATGTGTATTTGTAATTCCATCTCTATAAAAGGCAGAGACAGGAGAATGGTGATCTCAGGTAAAAAGTATGACACGCTATTTGAAAAAATAAAAGCAAAAATGGGTGTGAGTCCAATGGTAGAACACCTGCCTAGCAATTGCAAGGCCTTGAGTTCAAATTTCAGTACTGCCTAAACAAACAAAAAAGGGAAAGTTGAGCTGACACTTAATACTATAGGCAGCTTGAAGGTAAATAAATAGAGGAAAGCAACATGTTATGCATAGAAAACAACAGCAGGAGTAGCTATATTAATATTAAATAAAGTAGACCTTACTAAAAAAAAATTATCCAAGAGCAATGTCATGGAATGTTTAAGAAATAGCAAGCATGGATATTTGTGAGGCAAAAACTAATGAGCCGGGCTCCTTAACTCATCCCTGTAATCCTAGCTATTCACCGGGCTGAGATTTAAGGATCACAATTCAAAGCCAGCCTGTGCAGAAAATTCTGAAAGACTCCATTTCCAATTAATCAGCAAAAAAGGCTGAAGGATGACTCAAGTAGCAGCGCAAGTGTGCCGAGTGAGTACAAGGCACTGAATTCAAGCCCTGTACTGCCAAAAAACAAACAAAACACTAATGGACTAAAAAAATAAGACAAATCCACAATTATAGTTGAATACTTAAGTACTCAATAACAGGACAAAAAAATCAGCTACATTATAGATAAACTGAATGCCACTACCAACTAACAGCTCCTCTTAACTTTTTAGGGTACTACACCTCCACATCATAAAATATCTACTCTCTTGTATTACCTACAGAACACAAACCCACATAGAATATACTTAGGTCAGGAAAAGGTTGCAATAAATCTAAAGAATTCGTGTCACAGTGTTTTTTTCCATTAACAACAGAATAAACCTGGAAAGCAATAAACAGGATGAACTTTGTGAGCTCATAACAAGACACCATGGGTTGAGCAGATCCAAGAACAGATATTTTTCTCCCACAAATCTAAATTCCAGGATATTGACATTTCTGCTAAGGGCTCGATCCCTGACTTGTCTTCTTCTCATAGAATCCACATATGTTAAAGGAGGATGGCACAGGAAAGAGGGAGGCAAGAAGGGAGGAGGAGGAGGAGAAAGAGGAAGAAAGTGAGGAAGGAAGCAAAGAAGGAAGAAAGAAAGGAAGAAAGGAAGGAAGGAAGGAAGGGAAAGGATGGGAAGGGAGGAAGGAAGGAAGGAAGGAAGGAAGGAAGGAAGGAAGGAAGGAAGGAAGGGAAAGGATGGGAAGGGAGGAAGAGAGAGAGGGAGGCAGGCCCTATTCCCTGAAGACATATCAAACTTCCTCCTGGGATGCTCTGGGCCCCACGGTGTAACACTGTGTCATACATCCGGCCTTGGTTGCATACACGGTCCAGGCCTGCAGCACAATGCCTTCTCAAAGGAAAAGAACAGTTTTAATTTGCAGATTTGCTTGGTTTCCATGTCAAGTTCTTCCATGCCCTCTTACTTCTGAAGTGGTGCTGGTGAGTAGATAATGAGATGCCTGAATCACTGATGAAGACGTGGGAGCTCCATGCTGAAGTAGGTGAGATCAGTTCGAAGACCTGCTTTGCTCTGACTCTCTAGCAGGAGCTGTCCGTGAGTCAGCAAGTGGCGAGGAACAGGGGAGGTTCGTCAGAGTTGTGTTGCTGTATAAAAGGAGGAAGGCTTTATTTGGGATCCTAAGTTCTGAGGTTTCAGTCCATGCTCCACTGTCTCCATTATTCCTGCTTCATGGAGAGGCAGAATTTCATGGCCAAAGGACCCAGTGCAAGAAACTGTCTCACCTTGTAGATGCCAGCAGGCAAGGAAAATAATAGGAAGGTCCTGGGCCAAGACACACCCTTCAAAGGCACCTCTCCCACGCGACCTCCTTCCACCAACGAGGTCCATTTCCCACCGTTTCTACCACCTCTAAAAGGCCACACAGAGTATGGGTCTATCAGTGGATTAAATCACTGATTGGGTCAGCATACATGGTCCAACAGTCTCTAGGGACACCTCACAGACACACCCCAAAGACATGCTTTTCTCACCACCTAGTTGGTTCTCAAGACAATCAAGTTGACCCATTCAGTTTAAGCAAATACCTGGTATTCATTTAATAGCCACCAAATTGGCACACCTGAGAAACACTGACCCTGCCACCCACCTGTGTGTGTAACCCTGTCCTCAACTTTCTCCTCAGTAAAAATGCTACCCAGGTGATCTATTTCCTCTGGAGGCTATGGTAATTTCTGCTATACTGGAGAGAGATGGGAGGGAAGGATAGTGGCTAAAGACCACAGAAATTTATTCTTTTGTAATTCTGGAAGTCAGAAATCCCAACAAAAGGTATTGGTAGTTCCTGCCTCCTCTGCTGGCCTCTCCCACAAATTAGGATTCTTGTCTCCATCTACCAATCTCTCAGCACTTGCACATTTGCCTTCCCTTCCGGCATTGTGATTTCTCCCTGCCTTCTTTCTATAAGGATATTGGCATTTAGGCCAATCTGGAGAATCCAGCATAGACTCCTCCACGACATCATAGGTGCTAACATTCACGGTTGCTGGCCTCCAAAGATGAAGACAGAGACACAATTTGGGGAACCACTAGCAGCCTCCCACGCTGTGCTCCAAAACTTTGCTGAAGCAAGCAGATAACTCATGTGCTTAGGTAGTACCCGGATTATCAAGGTCACTCATTGAAGGAACAGAAATTGGAGCCAGGTGTCAATGACTCACATCTTCAATCTGAGCTCTTCAAGAGGCTGAAATCTGAGGATCACAGTTTCAAACAAGCTGGGACAGGAAAGTCTGTGAGACTCTTTCAAAATAAGACAGCAGGACAGTACCAGTCTTTCATGGAAAAAAATCTAAAGGACTACACTCAGGCTCGGACTTCAAGTCCCAGTACCAGCACACACAGATACAAACAGACACACAGACACAACAAGAAACAAAACCACACTGTCCACAGACAGGTAGAGCCCAGCCCCCAGAACAGTAAATGGCTCCAAGTGACCCCACGACCAGGACCCGTTTGGTCTGACAGCGACTGCTCAGAGACAAGCAGGAATTGTCTGAGCTTGTATTAATATGTGCAACACTTCACTCACATGGAAAATTGATTTTTCTTTTTAAGCACAAAACGTAGCAGTTTTATAACCTCTCTGCAGCTTGACAAAGGCCATTTATAACCTACTTTCCATCACCCTTCCTGGAGCCTCTCTCTCATGTCTTCAAGAACTCGCATGTGCATTTGTAATTACAAATTCTCCTTTGACAAAAATTTAATTTCCAAGAGGGCAGACCTCTGTGTTTGTTGTTGCGATTTGGGGAAATTAATTTGTGTACGTGTGACTGTGTGTGTGTTGGTATGTGTTACGACTGATGTCACTTCAGAAGGCAGTGTGGGCAGGGTCTGGAACTCTGGCTGGCGGGGAGGGGTTCACAGGACTTGGGGGGATTTTAATCAGCCATGTCCAGTGATGGATGAGGAAGATTGGACTCTAGGTGTTCATCTTTATGGACAAAAAAATGCCAGCAGGGTGACTGCAATTAAAACCTGGTGCCTTGTGTATCCTTTTAAAATCAGGATGTTCAAACTACTCCACTGACAAGGCTGGAGACCATGTTGTTAGCTCATCAGATGATGGAGAACTAAATAAGTAGCCAGATATTTCCTAGTATCGGTATCCAGCCATGGAAGGTAGCGGTCCCTGTGTTAGCTCAAGGACTCAAGGATTATATGCAAGTGTCCATGGGTAAGGAACCCTAATGATCAGCTTATTTGTTTATTTACACTGGGGAGTGATGCTCATTTTGAAGATCAAGTGGTCCTTTGGAGGATGATGCCGAGGAGACAGACAGCCTGGAGCCACCAGACTGGTTAGGAGGCCTTGGCATGCTCTGATTCTATGTATGTAAGCTTCTCATTTAGGGCTCCTGGGACAAGGCTGCAGAAGAGCTCAATTAAAGGCCAAAATGATGACAATTCACATTCAATGAGTAACAGATTATGTGGCAAATGCTGAAGTAAGATACAGACCCTCATGATATAATTTAGACTCACAACAATTACAAGTGTGTCCTGCCCACGTAATCGATGACAACCCTGAGACTCAGAGAAGGTGGTAACTAACTAGCCTCCAGTCACACGGGGAGGAGAATAACTAGAGTTTAAAGTCATAATGTCAGAGGCACTTTACAATATGTCTGGCTGCCTCCTTCAATGACCTTTGTAGCTGATGTACCATAAAAGCAACAATAAACAGGGTCCTAGCAAGGTCAGTAGTAGTAACAAGTAACATTTGCTCTGTGAACACAGATGGTAGGAGGAGAGATTGTGATGGAGCCCAGCACCTCCTTTCCCATAACCACCCTGTTATTCTCTTTCTGAGCAGTGTCCTGAGGAGCTGAGACCCATGAAGGACGGTTCAGGCTGCTATGATCACTCCAAGGGTATCGACTGCTCTGACGGCTTTAATGGCGGCTGTGAGCAGCTGTGTCTGCAGCAGACGCTGCCTTTGTCCTATGATGCCAGTTCCAGCACCATCTTCATGTTCTGCGGGTGAGTCTCCACCCCCAATGCCCAGGGACCTTCCCCACAGTGGCAGGTAAGCTATAGAGAAAACAGCCAAGAACTACAACCTGGCCAGTCTTGGTTGGACCTTCGAAGAAATGGTCTTTTTAAGTCTTCTGTTTGAGCTCACGTGGCTAGAGTATAACCTGGTGGACCTTGGAAAGAGAGTGGGTGAAGGAAAGTAATTGAGGAATACTTGCAACCCAGCATGTCCCTGCTCAGCTACCTTCCTGTGTCCAGAATCTATTCTCTGCTGAGGTCTTCTATCCCTGTGACTCCCCAGCAGCCTGAGGCAGTACAGTGTGGAGACAAGAAGAGGGATCTTGAGGCTGTTCATAAGGAAATACCTGGTGTGGCACTCCATTGGACAGGAAGGAACTCAGTGGCATGAGGTCATTGATGGTCTCTGGGCCCTTTGACCTATGTAGAATAACTAGAACTAAGGAAGGAAGTGCCAGGAAATCATACAGAGAAAGCTTGTAGTAGAGATTCCATTTGTTTCTTTCCTTCCTTTCTTTCTCATTTCTCCTTCTTTCTTCTTTCCTCCTTCCTTCCTTCTTTCCTTTCCTTCTTCCTCCCTTCCTTCTTCTCTTTCCTTCCCTCTCATCTTCCTTTCCTTTCTTCATCTCTCTCTGTCATTCTCTCTATTTTATCTTCCTTCCTTTCCTTCCTCTCCCTCCTTCCCTCCCACTTTCCCTCCCTCCTCCTTCCTCCCTACCTCTCTTTTTCTTTTTGGGATTGAACCCAGGGCTTCACTCATTCCAGACAAGTGCTCTTCCACTACAGCTACAGCCCCTTCAAACCAAGTTTTAAAACTGTAAACAAAACAGGGTGGTAATTTGCTGCACCACCTGACCTGGGACAATTCTTTTTCTCTGTCTAGGCCGCAGTTTAGCCATCTGTGAAAAGTGAGTTTTGTAAAGCCATGGCTATTTCTTCCAAGTGGCCATGATTTCTCTCCCTATGTAGTAGGAATTCCTTTTGACCCTTACAGCACCTAGCATGGTGTTTGGTCCTCAACAACCGCTCAAAAGAATAGCAGCATCTTCACTTCTTTAGTCCTGTTTTGCAGTCTGTCTTGGCATTAAAAAATGTACTCACCTTTTTGACACTCTGATTCCAAGAAATGATTCCTGTGCTTGTATGTGAAGTATGCCTGATGCTGTCATTACCACAAAGAGCAGAATAAGAGATTAGCCACCTTACAGCCCCATGTATCACAAAAATAAAGGAGGTGAGGGTGTGCATAGATTTAAACCCAGTTTGAAAAAGGAGGATGCAAGTTGCATGATTCTAGTTTCCAGAGTTCATGACTTATTTCCAGGTTTCTTTTCTTGCCCCCATTTCCACCTGGGGAGCTACGGGTCCCTTCTAGCAGGTGTTAGAGCGGCTCACTGGAGACCCTGGCTATGTATCTGTAAAATAAATAAGAAATAAATTAGTGTATGCAGACCTGAATTTATGGCGGTCTCTCCTCAGCTTAAGTGACTGCAGGGCAGTGTTGAGTAAATTATGCATGGACTAGGATCTGTAGACTTGCATACGGAATCAGCTGTTCTGTCTGGTTCTTATATCACCGTGGCTCTTTTCCTCGCTGTGAACTTGGGATGGTGTTGTATGGAAAATAACAACAGTAGCAGCAAGCAGCTGCAGCAGCAATGGATTCTGACATGGTAAACTATCACTGACTTCTATCCAGCACTCACAGGAAGGGTCCTGGAGGATTTGAATCTCAATGCCTCTCCCTCCCTGCCTCTTTCCCTCCCTCCCCTCTCTCTTTTTCTAGCCCTTTCTCATGCATCAAGCAGGCCTCCCTTTCATGACATCTGACCTTCCATGTCCTCCCTGTAAAATATGAACCTTAGCTACTTCAGTGTAATGATGGCTGTGGAGAGAGCTGAGTACTTTCCATAGATTACTTCAGAAAGGTTAAGTAACACATTCAGGGTCACAAGACACATGGTGCAGCTCATTGCCTCCTTGCTGTATGACTATGAGCAAGTTACTGATCATCTTATACCGTGGCCTCAGTTTCCTCATCTGTAACACGATCATAGGCTCTTGACTGCATGGTTGGTATGAGGCTTGAATGGCCTTGTTTATGCTGTAACTTAACATTCATCTTGAATTTGCTTTAGAACAGTATCCTTGCAGGGATTAGCACATAAACTAAGATAAAGGACATTTGCCAATCAACTTGCTCAATGATGTGATGTTCTTGACATTTTGGTTTCTGGGAAACAGGACTTAGTCATGTGTTCTATGAAAGTGTTAAGTAAGATTGGATCAGTGTGTTTTATGTGAGTTTGTTCAAGCCTATCCAGTGTTGGTACACAGAACCAAAAACAAAACAAAACAGAAAAAAAAACAGAAATAAAACAAGGTCTCCCAAATCAACTTACTTCCAACAAGCTTTGGAAATTGTCTATTGAGGATGCAAATGAGGCCCTACTCACACTTGTTAGATGCACTACAAACAATGAAAGCAATTAGCAGATGCTTGTGGAGAGTTAGTTGAGAGAAAGGTGGGTGCTATTGAATTAGACAAGGAAAACAAAACAAACCTCTGCACAAGGAGACATACCCACACAAAGCTCTGGACTTATTACGTATTTCCTGATTAGAAACAGGTTGAATACATCTGATTCAGTCAGCTTAAGAGCAACTGCTGAGGCTGAGAGCTAGTGGTTACTCAGGAAGCTATAATCTGAGGATCCTGGTTCAAAGTCAGCCGAGGCAGGAAAGTCTGTGTGACTCTTATCTCCAATAAACTACTCAACAAGAGCTAGAAGAGGAGCTATATCTCAAGCTGTAGAGCACTAGCCTTGAGGGACAAAGCTCAGGGACAGTGCTCAGGCCCTGAGTTCAGGCCTCAGGACTAGGACACACACACATGCACACACACACACACACACACACACACACCACATACACACACACCATAACACACACACAATGAATAGCAGCTGACAATTTATTTGGTATTTCCTACATGCTATGACTGTCCCATGACTTCATGCACATAGCCCTTTTAATTCTCATAACAACTCTGCAGGAGAGAAACTATCATGAATCCCATTTTACTGTTAAGAAAAACAAGCACAATGGCTCAGGTATCCCAGCTGGTAAGTAGAGGTTATCAGGATTCAAACTCAGTCTGTGTGCCTTTGGTCCCAAGCAAGAGAGAACCAATGTCACTAGAAGATTTTGGACACATATAGTTATGTCATCTTCAACAAATGATTTGTTTTTTTCTCAGCCTTTGTCCTTTAATATAGACTCAGAAGTAACTTGCACAATTTGGGGAATTAAATGCAATTAAGCAAGCATAGAAACTGGCATACGTAATAGAACACTCCATAAACCCCAGTTATAATTGTCTAATAGGCATACAGTCATTTTATTCAATTATTCAGTTACTGAGTTTTATGTCTGGCTCACTACTCTATTTCCCAATACATAGAACAGTGCCTGGCACACCATAGGTGCTCAGTTAGCAACTATTAAGTGAAATTCATCAACTCATGTGGCTAAGGAAGTTGTTCTACATCCAGCCTTCCAATTGCATTTCCAACTACTTCTCTCTACCTGTTACCAATGAGTGGTCACAGAGGTGAAGATCTCACTTTCTGGAAATCTCCGGTACACACACACACAC